AGAGACATCTTCGCTTGTACAAGTCGGACATCTCGGCCTTCAAGATTAGCGGTCTTCGCAAGGTCTACCCGCGTCCTCTACTGATCAAGCGTGCAGACGCGTACCAGCTGCTGCGAGTTAAGCACAATGCCTCCGCAAGGCAGAAGAGCGAGCTGGACAGGAAGCTGCTTCTGAACCTAGCCCAGTCGTCCGTTTCTTCGTACGCCGACGTCAGGCGGGTAGCACAAAGCGCTTTGGACTCCTCCCTCAAGGCTCTTATCGGCGGTCGGCCCCTCGTCATTCCCGTCCTTATCGAGAGGCTTCGCATCGCCCTGGACGAGATCGACCATGATCGCATCAAGGGTGCCATGTATACTCTCTTTTTCACTAGTCTCCTGAGGACCATCGTCAAAGACTGGCGGTTTGCCCCGGAGGCCCTTCGACTTTACTTAAAGGCAGGCACTATTGACAAGCCCAGCATCCAGCAGCTGGGTGCCACTGCGCTGTTCCCTCTATTGGATTTCGGAAAGCCATTCGAGCGAATGATCATCGTCAATCAGGACCTTGTCGAGCAGATCCGTCCTACTGAAGACTGCTCTCGCCCTATTGACAACCGCCACAACTTCATTGTCCAGCGTCGCGAACGCGTCGAAAAGAATAAGGCGGCCTTGGGCTTGGAGCTGGTCGATATGGCCAAGGAGGCACACTGGAAGATTGCTTCCCGATGCGTGATATTTGCTACCAACTTGTGCCTACGCTTCGACACATTGGCACCCCCAGAGTTTATCAAATTGGTCGCACAGGGGACGAACGACACCCATCCTGGGCTTCGGGCTAGTTACACGTCTGCCTTCACCTCCGTGTTCGAGGCCGTCGAGATGCGTGCCGCGTATGACCACGACTACCGCAACTACTTATTGGAGAAGGAGAAGGACCGGAATAAGCTGGCGATAGAGGTGAAAAAGGGCGACAAGGACTTTACCGACCGCTACCTCGCCGCCTTCGCTGATTCCGACCCCAATAAGGCCGAATACATGGTGGACTCCGACCATCCCGGATGGCTCGTGTGGGGCAAGAAGTTCCTCGCCTCTCGCGCGAAGCCTGACCCCTTTACCGACTACGACGAGCGAGAGGCCGCCGTGCGGTCCCAAATCGGTAAAATGCTGACGCGCGACTGGCTGAAAACCTGCTTTGACTACCTCAAGCAAGAGCCCCGCGACGCGGGCGCCGATCGGTTCCGCATGGGCAACGTTTACATGCTCATGCACGTATTCGACCTGATGCACTACGGAGGGACGGAGATCACGCTGGACGACGTCAAGGAACTCACTACGGACGTATACGGCGACGGCAGTGATAAGCACCAGCACCGGGCGACGTCAGAGATACTGGCGGCACTGATGGCTGGGTCAAGTGACGACCCCCTCGAATTCCGTGATAAAGTGTGGGGCTTCGCCGCTACGTTGATGTTGAAGATCCTCAACGAGGACCTGACGCCGGAGAACCTGCAGTACTGGGTCTCCTGCCTGCATCTGACAGTCGACCCGAAGGACCCTCGTCGATCTCACGAGTTGGTCGATACCCTTAGTTCTTTTAGGCTGGATATGTCATCCAATGCCGCGTTCAAGGAGTCGAGCAAGGTGCAAGTGCTCGAGTTTATCATCACTGACGCTGGCTGGCACTTCCGTCACGAGAAGCCGATCCTCGAAGACTTTTTGGCTCATATCGACCACCCGTACAAGACGGTCCGCGAGGCAATGGGTCGGGTCATCGCCACCATCTACCGCACCAGGTATCACGAATCGTTCGAGAACGTCGACCGTTTGCTGGAGGCAAACAAGGAGGCCTCGTCTCTGGGGATTCGCCCTTACAAGTGTACCGAGGAGTTCGACGCTACCATGCGCGAGATCTTCGATCGACTCGAGAAGTGGCGTAAAGAGCGTACGCCAGGACAGCAAACGCCGTCTTCCTACACCTCCGGATCGAAGACCGTCTTGACTTGGCTGGACAGTACGCTTTCGTCTCAGGAGTGTACTCAGCTGATGCCCTTCTTCCCGGAACCATATATGGAGCAGCTCCTCCACATGATGGATGTCAAAGAAGACCCCGAGCTTATGCGGCTTGCCTACCATGTCTATCGCCACCTGCCCAACATTCCTTTCCGCGTAGGCGAAGATGGTCCCTTCATTGATGCTCTAGTCAGAATTGGCAAGTCTGCGACCAGCTGGCACCAGCGGTTGAGATCCATGGTCAACATGCAAGTCATCTACTTCCGTCGCTTGTTCCTCATCGAGAAGAAGCAGCGTGACATCTTGTTTGATGCTGTCAGTGACATGCTGGCCGACGCGCAGCTCGAAGTGCGATCTTGCGCTTCTGCCACTTTGGCCGGCATGATCAGGTGCTCGCCGAAGCGCATCCGCGATCCTACCATTCAGCTTCTGAAGAAGCGCTACGAGAATGAGTTGCGCCTCAACCCCATGCCGAAGCGGAAGCTCCCAGGAACCGAGACGCCGGTCGACACCACCAAGCAGATCGTCCGCAGGCATGCAGCTGTCCTTGGTCTGGGTGCGCTCATCGAAGCATTTCCGTACGCCACTCCGCCCCCGTCTTGGATGCCCGAGGTTCTGCAAATTCTGGCGACTCGTGCAGCTAGCGACCCCGGAGTCGTCGGTAAAGCCACCAAGGCAATTCTTTCCGACTTCAAGAAGACCAGACAGGACAGCTGGAGCGTGGATCAGAAGGTACGTCGGCACATCATATGTTATTCCATACACCAAGCTAACAGCTACATACAGTACTTCACTCAGGAACAGCTTGAGGACCTGGAGGGTGTGTTGTGGAAGAGCTACTTTGCCTAAAGTGGCACTGGACGGAGACGCCGGACGAAGACGCCGGACGAAGGTGCCAGACGAAGGCGCTGGACGAAGGCGCTGGACAAAGCGCCAGACGACACCGCATGACACCGGACGCCAAAGACGGGCGAGGACAACAAGAGAGACGACGGCGAGGATTACGACAATAAGGGCAACGGAGCATACCTGAACAGCAGGCCTTTCCGTCGTAATCGTGTATAGTGGGCTTGGTCATTCATAGATGTACGGTTATGAAGGCATGCGTGGACGATGATATCCAACTGGGTTGCATGGCTCTATTAGACGGGGTCAACGGATGGATTCTGGGATAAAGAGAGTGTGTATTGTTGAGCTAGTTTCATAGCTCATACATCGTTTCTGCCATTGGACTTCTCGAAGCTCGGGTGATCACTGTGTGGAGAGTTCCGTGACGACGCAACGCCAGGCAGCTCGCGTGGATTTCTCCGGCTAGTTTGCCCAGTTTGCAGCTGATTTCGGAAGGTTATCGTGAACTTTATTTTGAGGGAAGCCAACGTTCTGGAACAAGATGACGCATCCAGACCGGGGCCCCATTTACGATTCACGCGAGGCCGCCCTCTGATTGCTGGCCTTGTATGAAGATGCGCGCAGCGACAGGGAAAGAGCTCTCGCCGACGCCGCTGTCAATGTTTCAGGGACCCAGTTCAGACGTCTGAGACGTGTACCGGCGGGGTGGCGCGGCCGGGGGGGAATGACTCGGCGCGCGCGTGTGAAGCGCAGTGTCGTACCGGAGTGCGGGTCGTTCGGCTGGGAGTAGACGAGGCGGGGGGACCCTCAGCTGTCCATCCCTCTTGTCATGACTTGACTCGATTCTGGTGACGATGTATAAAACGGATGAACTGGAACCTTGAGGAGGGATGGTTGGTTCATCTCAAGTTTATCCAGCGTCTTTATTCAGTCTTCTACACTACAGCGTTGATCGCCCCGGTTTTGTTTACTTCGCTTTAGAGCTTTACGCACCATATACCCAAACCAGCAAGATGAAGTTCACGATTGTTGCCACGAGCGTTTTCGTCGCTCTCGCTTCCGCGCAGGCCTCGACGTTCCTGTGCAGAGACATTAGCAACAACGTGATGACGGATGGAAGTATTTGCACTGGCGCGGGTGGAAAGGATTTCGGCAGAGGAGTGAGTTCAACACCTGACTTGAATAAGGAAACGTAGAGAAAGGTGCTGACTTGGGGTTAGATTTGCTGTATCGCCAAGTCGAACGCTCTGGCGCAGAGCCGATTTGATATCAACTGCGACGATAAGCTGGGTACTACGCAGAACACCGGCGAGGCTTGCCAGCTTTAGGGTGGATGTGAAGCAAGGAGGAAGTGAAGGATGTGGGGGGTTGTTGGACAATATACCCGGTTGAAATTGAATGCTTGCGGATGTGAACATGATGATTGTGATCGTGCTTGTGAATTGTATGATGGGTAAACATGCTGATTTTCATCACATCAGAAACTACTCGAGTCTGCCGGCGATGCAGTTGTTCATCTTGTGAACCTATTTGACCTACTCGACCAGTGGTGACCAGACGGGGTTTCAACGTCCTACGATATTGATTACCTGTATTGTGTCTGTGACTTGTATTCAGTGATTCTATCGCTCCGGCTGTCTTGGTTGTCCTAGTCGGCCCTATCGCCCACATAGGTAGCCAGCTAGAGACATGAAAGTTCGGCCCCACAATCGCGGATGCGCTCCGGCGAGCTTCTTGACATGTGGCGGATGTCGCAGGAACTCGGAGGAGGTGCACCGGTCAGGGACATGGTACCCCGGCATGGAAAAGCCTCATCGAACCAATCTTCGCGCTTGTGGCTACTTGTCGCGGTTCTTCATCTGCTGGGTTGAAAGCACGTCATGGAATAACGAGAACAGTGGCATGGCTTCCGAGTGGGCGATGACCGGCCCGAACCGATTCATCCGGCGATGCTGGATTTGAAGCGCGGCATCGCTCAACTGATCAAGCTCTTGCGCCATATCAATTGATGTTTGCGTTTTGGGTTCATTAGATTAGTCAAGGGTTTCTTGCTTTAAAAGTTGAGACGAAAGTTTCGAGGACTTGGCCCAAATTCACAAAACATCAACCTCTCGTCTTCAATTGAATCGTCGTGGAAGTCCTACATTTCAAAACAAGTACAGAATGAAGCTCACGGCGGGAGTCGCATGCCTCAGCTTGGCGTCTCTTGCCGCCGCTGACTGGCGCTTCCGGTCCCGCCCCGAACTTGCCGCCCCGAGGCTCAACATCACGGTTCCAGCCGACCGCAATGCCGTGGAGAAGGGCTTCATCTTTGTGGCGCCCTACGAGGGTTTCGAAGAAGGCCACCGTGGGCCTATTCAGCCGGGAGCTTACATCTTTCGAGACGATGGAGAATTAGTCTGGTCTGGCGTGGGATACCATTCCGGATGGGTCGCCAACTTCCGCCCCGACACTTGGGACGGGAAGCCGTATCTGCGTGCATTCCAAGGATCGCTCGATGGAAAACATGGCAGGATGTTTGGTTACCACACACTCCTCGGGCCGGACTATGAGGTCGCCAAGGTGGTCAAGGTCGGATCGCACCGGCTCGTCTCGGCGCACGAGTTCCGGCTCGTTGACGGGAAGACGGCCTTGGTGGAGACGCCGATCCCACGGACCGTGTCCTTGAAGCCATGGGGAGGTACTGCAGAGCAGAACTGGATTCTCTCGGGAGGGTTTCAAGGTACGCTATCCTCTCTTTTGTGTCAGTCTGGCTGTTAATAACTCTCAGAGATTGACATCGACACGGGGGACGTTATCTTCGAATGGGAGAGCTTCGACCACGTTGATCCTAAGTGTGAGTGATCGAAGCTTGGCTGAAATGAGTGAAGCAAAGCTTACCTCCCTCGCAGACAGCGCTTTTCCGCTCGACTTTGGCGCAGGTCTTCCCGGAAGTGGCACAACGGAGACAGATGCCTGGAACTATTTCCACATTAACAGCGTCGACAAGGACGACGAGGGGAACTATCTCATATCGGCAAGAAATGTCGCGGCGGTCTTCAAGATCAACGGAACCAACGGCGAGATCATCTGGCAGCTCGGAGGCTTCCACGGAGGCTCTTTGTTCACGCTAGCCAGCGAAGACGTGTTTGGCTACCAACATCACGCTAGATTCCGCAGCCGTTCCGCAGATGGAAAGATCGAGGTCATCACCCTGTTTGACAATGGAGCCCACTCGGCGCCCAAAAAGACTAACGCGTTTTCGCGGGGTCGCATCTATCAGCTGAACCACACCGACGGCACCGCGAAAGCGATTCAGACGTACGACGCTCCGGATGGCTTGTCGGCGCGCACGCAGGGTAGCCTGCAGATTCTGCCGAACAACAATGTCTTTATCAACTGGGGCCAGTCGGGCGCGGTGACGGAGTACAGCCATGAGGGCAAGGTCTTGTTCCACGCGTACCTCGACTCGGCTCCGGAGGGTATCTTTACTCAAAGCTACCGCGGTTTCAGATACAACTGGACCGGAACGCCTGGCGAGGAACCTGCTGTTGTGGCTTTCAAGGGTGCTCGAGATGGCGATTTGAATGTCTATGTTTCGTGGAACGGGGATACGGAGGCTGCCTCGTGGAGGTTCTACGCCCGGTCTGCAGCGGGTTCCAGGGAAGATTTCTTGGGAGAAGTCGAGCGTGAGGGCTTTGAGACTCACGCCACGCTTCGTTATGTGGATGTATCTGAAGGCATCACAGTCATTGCGGAGGCTGTTGACAAGGATGGCAGAATATTGAGGAAGACGAAAGCTGTTCCGATTTCGTTGGACTTGGCTCATCCGCCTTCTGAGCTGAAGTGGGGGAGTGACGAACTGTGAAGCAAGTCAATGATACTGCATGCAGCCTTCGGTGCGTTGTTTCAAATTTCAACGCAAAACTTAAATCATGAAGAGAATGTAATGGAACAGAAATTAGAAGGATTCGCGTTGAGCAAGGTGAGATGTAGGATCTAAAGACAAAGCGAATCCCATGGCGAGGGAATCATCAGAGACAACGAAGCGGTCGGTGCTTCAAATGGTTTCCGAGATATGCTGTCCCATAATTCGGAGCATCTACTTGGCCTCCCTGTGCGGAGAGGAGGATTCAAACCTTGAACATTTCCAAGGCGGCTCTGCTGGGCGCGATCATAACTTCCGTGCCAAGTTAAACATCGAGCCAGATTCCATCTCATGTTGAGGCGCTTCGGTCAACTCCCGAGCACCAAGAAGTCTTGGAGTCTTGGGGATCTTGGCCCGCCAGCTTGGCCCGCCCGCCGCGCTCCTCCCCTCCAACCATTCTTGGTCTTCATTCGACGGGTTTGCCGCCAAATATTAAAATCCTCCCTGTTCCCGACTTTCAGGTCGGTCGAGGCGTCGGATGTTTTGCCATCTTGGTCTTTGAGAATCCATGTATGGTCAAATCTCAGCGGCTCTGCGAGATGCACGCCGAGCCCGCCCAGACCCTAGGATATCTTCGCGATGGGGACTGCATTTAGACGAACCCGCTGTAGCTTGCAAGAGATTCAACAACTGGCTAACCTCGGATGATGGGAAGATATCGGAAAAGAAATCAGTGGGACTTGTGGAGGCGGGCGTGATAGACGATCACTATTATGTTGTCTTGGTTGTCATGTCGACATCCACGTTGGAAAAGGCCCCATCTGCTGAGAACGCTGGCGTGGAGCATCTCAAATCTGGAGGCGGGGTCCGGGGAAAATGAGGAGGGTTGAAGCGGAGAGATATGGGGAGACGGGGCAATGCGAAGCGAGATCCAGCCTCAACTGATGCTGTTGTCCAATTGTTCGCCGTCTGCTTTTCCTCCCCTTTCGATATAAGAAGCTCCCTGCGCTCTTATTTTCTGGCACGACTATGTCTTCTGAATCATCTCATTCTCAGCTTCTCGCCAAACTTAGCTCTTTTCAGATATGGTCGCCGAAGAAAAGCCCTCCCAACATACTGGAGGCACCGCTCCCCCCGGTGCTGTCGAGACCAACCGCCCAGATGGGGTCAACAAGGGACCGTCAATCGTCGAGGCAAATGATGGAGACGGAAAGGGGGAGCTTCTGCCTTCTCCAGAGGAGCAGATCGACGCTTTGGGCATCCCAAACTGGAGAGAGCTGGAGAAGCAGGTCGTCAAACGCCTTGACATGACTCTGATGCCATGCTTATGGGTCTTGTATTTGTTTAACTACTTGGATCGTGCCTCCATCGCGTAAGTCATAGGCACCTGGCAGAACAACTTATCATTTGGCTCCAAGCTGACGTATACCGCATCATAGACAGGCTAGACTCAGCAGCCTCGACGAAGACCTGGACCTGAAAGGGTACCAATACGGCACTGCGGTGTCGATTCTAAGTGTTGGGTAAGCTTTCTTGAGCCCTCGCAGAACCCCTGAAAATCCTAATGACTTGGTAGCTACGTTCTTGGCCAAATCCCTTCGAACATGATCATTGGAAAGGTGCGGCCTAGCTTGTACCTCTGCTGCATGGCACTGGTCTGGTCTAGCGTCTCCGCTGCCACTTGTGGTGTGAAGAACTACCAAGGGCTTATTGCCGTGAGATTCTTTTTAGGAGTGGTCGAGGCACCGCTATTTCCTGGTGTACGTATGGAGTCAATCTTGGCGGTTTCTATGACTAATGCTATTGGTTTTAGGCAATCTATGTCATGTCTTGCTGGTACACTAGGAAGGAGATGGCGCTCAGATGTGCCCTTCTATACACTGGCCAGACACTCGCATTCTGCACCGCAGGACTCATTGCTGCCGCTGTCTTCGGTACTCTTGAAGGCTCGTATGGTTTGGCTGGATGGCAGTGGCTTTTTATCGTCCTCGCGTCCACTGGTGCAGGACTTGCCATGATCGCTCTGTTCATTCTGCCCGACTATCCAGACTCCGCCACCGGGAGTGCTCGTTGGTCAATGACCGAAGACATGCGCAAAGTCGCCGCTGCTCGCATTCTTGCTGATCGGGTCTCCACTTCGGAGGCGAAGACTGGTGTATGGCACGGACTGAAGATGAGCGTCTTCGACTACAAGATGTGGCTTCTCGTCGGCATGAACATCGGCATCTCAGCTGCGTACGGGTTTTCCAACTTCTTCCCCTCCATCGTTCGTGGATTCGGTTACAACAACACAATCACTCTTGTGCTCACGGCGCCCCCATACATCTTTGCCGCGGCTGGATCCCTGGTCAATGCATGGCACTCCGACAAGACCAAGGAGCGCGGTTACCACTTTGCAGGACCCATTGCATTTGGGTGCATCGGCTACATTATTTGCCTCGCCACCGAGAACCGCAACGCTCGCTATGGTGCATCTTTCATCTACGTTGGCGGCATGTACTTCGCCAACCCCTTGATCAGTACCTGGACCTCCAACACGATGGGCAGAACCCCTGAGAAACGTGCCATTTCCGTCGCCCTCGTCAACGTTTTGGGTCAGATCGGAAATCTGATTGCTCCCTACTTCTTTGTCGACTCTGACGAACCTCGGTATCGTTTGGCATTCATCATGATGATGGTCATGGGCTTGATTGCCTGCGTGAGCGCCATGGGTCTGAAGCTCTACCTGCATCGATCCAACAAGAAGCTGTACCGCACAGCGGTAAGGAATGGGACGGTTTATCAGCCATATGTTATGTAACGCATGGGCTTCCTAATGGCCATTGGGTTTGACGAACTATACGGGCATACGCACATGCAGGAGCCAAGGACATAGGTTTCGTCACTTATGAAGAGTGGGGGTCCTTTATCTGATTGTAGTTTGCGAAGTCTTGCAACAAATTATGCTAGCACGCTGTTTTGACTAGCAAAAATGAGAATTGAGAACATGGCCAATTTTCATGATAGAGATCGAATCCGATAGATCTGTCTGTCGTTCAAAGTGCTTCCAGAACGGCGGATTGGCTCCGTAACTCTAATTTAAGCTCTAACTTAGACTCCATCCCGAAGTCCACCTTGATTTTCACAACCATAAGCCAACAAGGAAGAGTATAAGTCCGACTGGGCTGCGCAAGAAAGCCACAAGTTTATTGGCAAAAAGGTCATAACCATCTCTTCATTGCTATGTCTGAGATTCTGCTTGAGGATTGTGATATTTACGATGCCTTGCTATGTGATCTGTTCACCCCATCCCTTCTGCCAGCGGAATCCAGTCTGGTAAACGTTGTTCAAATCCCGGCAAGTACAAGGATGACACATACAACATGCCACGTACTTCAAGCACCTCTTCGGCCTAAATACAATACGGTCATACGAGTACATTCCCAATTTGACATCCCGCCGGCATCTGCATGTCTGCCTGTAGGCCGTATCACAGATTTCCTCGGGTGTGATGAAGTGCCCCTGCCCGTCTATTTGTTGGTGGAACAATTTCTAATTCAATGGTAAATCATACCTCTCAGCTGTGAGGCCAAGGTCTAAAATCTAGCATACGCCTGGAACATCCATCTGTTGCTATGCAGTAATGTATACACGGTATTTATGAACTGTGAATAGTCGTAGAAAATAATATAAAGCTGTCTCTATTCCTATCAATGTAGCCATTCCTCCATCACTCTTATCGTTACGAACTCTCCTAAGATACAACTGAGTAATCTTTCCATACTTTTGACTCAAGATTCGTCCACCTTCCAATATGAGAGCCGAAATTTTCATTCTTGCTGTCTTGGCTAGCACAGCTATTGCCCAGGACGCAGTGACCTGCCGGGTCATCGATCCCATTGAGTCGCGTGCCATTTGGTTCACCGTTGAATCTGGCAACTGTGAGACCTCGCGTACCCTCGAGACCTGTGGTGCGTCCGGCAGCTCAATTCAGAGCTTCTTCTCTTTCCCTGGCTGCAATCTAGCCGGCGCTTTGCGCATCAAGAACCACGCTTCAGTCAATGCCATCACTCAACTCAAGGGTATTGGTGGTTCTTGGGTGGCATACTCTCTTTCCGCGGGCGAAGAGTGCACGGCGAACCTTGGCCTGAGCCGTGTGGCTGGTTATACCAACTTCCGCTACAGCAGGTATGAATCGTCTTCCATCTAGGTACTATGACTCGACAGACTGACAAGAAGTGCGAACAGGGCGGACGCAGTGAACGCGACCTCCAACTGAGTCCGAAGTAGGACCAAACTCCTCATGGGGACGAGAAAGGGAGGGTGGGATAGGAGGCTGGGAGGTTCCGGAGATGATCATAGTGGAGTGAAAAAATGACAGAATGTGTATCTTTTGATACGATATGGAATAAGTGATGTGTTAATTAATAGTACATTGTGTTACCTCCTCTTTAGCGTAAGATCCTCGCTGCTCCCTGCTCTTTCTTTGAGACATTATTGATTTTAGATGCACTGCCTGTTATCCGCAATCACTGGTTCGATCTTACTGAAGCCTGCCAAACACTTCAATCAGTTCCATTGCCGAAGCAGGTGACGTAGTCTGAGGTGTTTGCAAATATCATGGTGCTTATTCAAAGTGGCGGGGTCGATCCATAAGACTTCGCGCTTCAAAACTGCATTTCCGTGTTGTTTGGATACCACTTCCCACGATGATGTGACCCAGGTGGGTATCTCTACATGAAAAGTCGCAGATATCGCGAGTTCGGTCTTGTCGCCTAGAACATCGTACCTGAACATGAATCCATTGTGCACACCGGCTGCCCAGACTTCCATAGTCCTGAGACGGGGCATGTGTATAGCTGCTTGACTTGCTGCTTGAAGTAGGTTTGCTATGCTGTGTAGACTCAAACATTGGTCAATCTGGCAAGTAAGCACCAAGTCGGTGAGTTTGGGCCAGGACACAGCTGGCTGGGTTTGTAGTGAACTGGAAGAAGCCTCTATCAGCACATTGCAGTGTCTGAAAAAGTCTTTCGCATCGATTGCATGAGATATGGCGAGCCTGCTAAGATAAAAGCTGGCACTGACTGCGGCCGAGGTCAAAATATCATCTGATTTCTTGGCATAGAATCGCTGTTTGTGAAGCCGTTGGGATTGTGTCTCCCATAAAGACACCTCTTGAATTTTCGAATAGTTACTGATCGTTAGGAACAGCATTGCGTTCGCCCTGTTCCTCTCAGCTTGTCCTAGCCGTGTAACTGCAAGCCATGGTTCGTAGTTGATACGCTTGACTTCCGGCAGGCTTTGCAGTATGTCTCGCATAGAAATTGCCGATAGGCTGCGATAAAAGGTTTTCCGGATGGAAAATTCTTGAATCACAGGTACTCTAGGAAAATATGATTTGTTGGTATTTCCCACGTGCAGGAGATTTCCGACCAATCGCTCTCTGGCACCTCGAGGAGAATATGTCGGCCGATTGTGAGCTTCACATCTACCGGGACGCTGGTGCTGTGAGTCGCTAGGGGAGCTGGCGCTGAGCTCGAGTGTTAAGCCTCCCGTCTTCCACTTTGAAAGTGCAGAGAAAAGCGTGGTTAACTGTCTGATGAAACCCGCATCGTTCAAGATGGCTGTGCGTGCGTCTTCTGGCTGGTCGCAATCGTCACAAGAGTATTCTCTCAGCCATAAGTGCAATGAGATCTTCTTGACCAGGGGTTTTCGGATGTCTGTAATATATCGCTTCATCAGAGTACGATCCAGAGTTGACGATTGGAAGTTCAGGTTCTGCCATATTTGCGGTTCGAAAAATGTCTGCCATTGCCGAGATACACTTGCTAAGCTGGCTAGGGAATGCTTTCCATGGGCCAAGCTGCCGAGCTCTTCCAAGATCATTAGCTGAAGCTCCGGTGGGATTGCCTTCCATCGAATATTCTGTATCGTATTTTTTTGGGGGGGAAGTTCTACTCCTGAACTACGTCGCATCGTGACAATATGGGCCACAAATGGGCGGATGGCGGGACTTGCAAACGAGATGGGGTGAAGGGGAACAAGCAATGCGTAGTAAAAATTGCTGAAGGCGGAGAGAGGAGTGGAACAAAAATTCAAAAAGGCTTTATATAGGATGCACGTGTTCTCCAGGTTCGCATTTGACGTATATGAGCAAAGCCTGCAGGGTCACCTAGCATTAACCTTTCTGCCATCAAAGTACAAATTCAGAGTACGACGCTGCTAAAGTGGTGAAGATTCTACCATAATGGACTAAGACTACATTAAAACGATATTCCTGAGTATACTATACGAGTTTTACTATTCGAGGGGATACTTCTAGCGTAATACCTTCAGCAGAAAGCCGCATAAGACTTTTATTTAGTCTAGTTCTTACTTCTATCGACCCTGTCATCTACTCTTCTCGTCATTTTCGTCATATTTCTCATCATCGCTCTCATCTTCATTGTCGTCGCCGCCCCGTCGCTGTTATGTGGCGCCGTTGTAGTTCCCCGCTGTCTCCTCCTGCCTTTATTCGCATCCGTCCGCCCGGATAGCAAAGCTTCATCGAGCTGCGTATTCCAGATTAAGGACATACACGCATCAAGAAATTTAGGTATGTCACGCTCAGGATGCAGCTATGTAATATCAATCTCACTGAATATTGGGGAATCATGGATACGTATGTTTTGTTACGATTACATAATTCTTAGTTACACCCTCTGGCGACATCTAACCATCAACGGCACCTTCTGCCAGATGAGGTAGACCTTTTGCTTGCTCACCCAATCTTCAGCCATGTCGACAAGCTCAAGGTCAAAATTCCATAGAATCTTGGCCAAAACGATGCGCAATTCTGCATATGCCATGCTAGAGTTGTTGTCAGTAAGTCTCCAATTTGGGGCCCATTGCGACTCTCTCACCTCTTGCCGATGCAGTTTCTCGGACCAAATGAGAATGGCTGACTAGCAGACTTGTCGTCCCTGCTAAAATCTTCATCCATCCATCGCTCAGGAATGAAATCTTTGGGATGTGACCAGTTGAATCCCGAGTGAGCAGCTGAAAGTTGATGGACTCCAACTGCGGTCTGCCAAGCCGATCTTGTTAGCGGTCTTCACACAGATACTTGTGGGCTATGGACATACCCCTCCAGGAACCCATTTGCCGTCAATATCTTCGCCGGCACCAGGCACGAAACGGGGTAGAGCGCTGGGGCTTGGAGGATAGATTCTCAACCCTTCCTCAATGACTGCCTTGAGGTATCGCAGCTCACCGGTCGAAGTCATCGTGATGTCCTCGTCTCTCGTAAAGGCGTTGCGGATCTCCTGTGTCAATCTTGAGTATTTTTCAGGACTCCGACACAAGAAGTACGTGATGCCAGACAGGGCGGTGGCTGCAGTACCGCTGCCAGCCACAATAAAGGCCGATGCCATTCTGACGAGGTCGGCATTGCTGAGGTCCGCTTGAGGATTTTCCAGAATGTAGCTCATGAAATCCTTTTTGTTCTCGGTGGCCTGAAGCCTCCGCTTGACCTTCCCAGCTGTGAGTTCGCCATGCTTCTTGAGAGCCAGTTTCTGTGCCTTCGGGGCGAGCCACTCAAGCCAGCCTTCCAAGCCGTAATGAATCGCAAATTGATACCGGACAATGCCCTGAGCTCTAGTCCCGATAACCTGGAGCCATGGCTGGGATGCATCGTCAAGACAGCCAGCGGCCTGGCCGAAGGCCAAATCACTGATAATATCAAAGGCAGCCAGACTGAACCACTTGACCAAATCCTGTGGGGCGCCGGTCTTACTGGAGGATCGTAGCCGATCTACAAGTTTGTTGGCGTAGAGTTGCAGAATTTCCTCTTGTTCTCTCAATGCACGCTCGCTAAACGCTGGCAAGACAGCTTTCCGGAGTCTGGCATGTGGCTCTTGATCAGCGGTGACAATGCCGCCATTGCGAACAGCTGGGTTGGTCACACTCGGTCCAGCGATTCCACGGCCGTCAAAGCACTTTGAGAACTCAGGGGATCGTTGACCGTAGATCTTCTTCCAGGCGGTGGAGCTGGTGTATGATAGCTCATCTGGCGCGATTCTGACCACTGGGCCGTACTGTTCGTGCAGTTCTCGAATTCTGAAGGCTAAGCTTCCTTTGAGATTGACGAGGTTCCAGGGGAGGCGGCTTATTGCCCACAATCGAGGACCGGGATAATGCCGAAGCGGATGGAAGTAGATGTTGTAAACGGCGCGACCGACACCATAAAAAATCGCCTACGTATATTCAGTTAGTGTCCTTGTCAGGGAAGTTGCCTACTCACGGACACAGCGAAGAACAGCAAGATGCCTGCCGCGCTAGAGGCACAGTGCACCAACAAATGAGACATTCCCATCACGGACAGATGTCGACCAGAAGTAAGGGAAACAAGTAAAACAAAGCTCCCGTCGCTTGGCCAATGCCAAGCATCACGGCTCACACCGTTTTATGTTCAACATTGAGATTTTCGTGGTTTGCGCTCGCGAGTCAGACTTTTGTGTTAAGAACACCAGTGACAGTTCCACCCCAAGAAACGTGCACAGTGGCTTGAACATGATTCAACAATTAAAGAAATTGGATCCCTGTAGCGGGTCCACGATTGATTGTGATGTCGTACTCTGTGTGCTCTCCAAACCCCATGATGGTAGTGAGCTCTATGGATATCAAAATATGTCTATGAATTCATGATTACGCTTAGTCATCCGCCTCAAAGAAATGCATTACTGTCGGCGCGTCTGTTGAGTTGCCCGTCGAGTTGCCGCCAAACTGCAGATACCCAGCCGTATCCAAAAGAGGCAAGACGGCAATGTCTTTGTAATCTCCCATGACCCAGACAGTTTGCATGCCCATCACCATGTGTTGCAGGATATGGCAGTGGATCTAGAATGTTCGTTAGTCCCATGTCTCACGGTGAGCCGAGAAGAGTGAAACATACCATCCAGACACCGGCATCTTCTACGCGCAGACGCCACGCTCTCCAGCCAGCGTTAGCACCAGATGTCGTCTTTTCGCCGTATCGGTAAAGGTTCGTCGTGTCTCGCTTGACCGGGTTGTAATTTTTCAGCTTCTCCTCATTTTCTGTTTGGTTGTATGTTCCGTTGCCACTTCCAATGTCCCAGAAATGTCCACCATGGGCGTGGAATGGGTGGAAGTCGACGCCACCACCATTGTTGACGAGGGAACCAGTGTTGTGCCAAACAATCTCAAGAACCTGCAAATTGGTAAGCGTATGTCACAGACGCCAACCAGTGAAAATTGCTTACCTCGCCAAGCTTCGCAGGCCAAGTCAATGTTGTTGGGTCCCAACCGTTGTTGTTCATCGCAGCTGTGTAGTTTGGCATCGCGGCTTCCCCTTGCTCATAGATATTGACCAGATACGGCTTGTCACCAGGGAATGGTGACGAGGTTTCATTCCACTCCAGTCCGTTGATCTGCCAGATAATTGATTGCGTAGACAACTGTCGGCTGTCGATGTTGATGGTGCGCGTCACCTCACTTGCCTTTGGAAAGTTGTTGGGCACCAGAGGCTCCAATGCATACTCAGCCCATTCGTAGGGCTTCGTGGAGAACGTCAAAGGAGGAGTCGCGGGCGCCTTGTTAATCTGAGTCGTAGCCTTGTAGTATCGCAGGACACCGTAGCCTTGGTAAACTTTAGGTCTGTCCTTTGTCTCCATTTGGATGAGGAAGTCGCCAGTTCCGTTGAGCTCCTCCTCAGTCTTCGCCTTGAAGATGACATCAAAGCGCTGACCCGAAGACAGTTGCATGATGTTCTCGGAGTGTGGCTTGGTGTACGCGCCGTCAGCAGAAATGATGGTGAAGTTGTCATGGCCCACAATGCCCAGTTGCACCATAGAGATGGCCGTGGCACCGATGAATCGCAGACGGTAAGTCTTTCCAGGCTCAACATTGATGATAGGCAGCTTGCAGCCATTCTGGCCAGCTGTTTCGTCAACGGAAACCCCAACGCCGTTGATGAGGACCGCGTTGGTCTCACCGGACCATACGAAAGGCGACGCAGTCAATCCCTTTTCGATCTGAGTGTCGGTTTTGTTGTAATAGTCGGACAGCATGATGATTCGCTCATCGTCATATGCGTAAGGAGGTTCCGCACTATCCTCGATGATCAAAGGCCCAGCGGCGGTCATAGCCTGGAAGCCCACATGCGAGTGATAGAAGTAGGTACCAGACTCTGACTTCAGAGGGTAGACCTCGTAGTCGAAGAAGCGACCCGGCGGGATGGGCCATTGACTCGCAGATGGAGTGCCATCTGAAAAGGGTGCCATGCGCATGCTGAGTCCGTGCCAATGCATGGTAGTGTTGTGGTGTTCCATGTCGTTGTATACCCTAATCCAACTCCTTTGTCCTGGCGGGAGCCTAAGTGTTGGGCCGTAAAGAGTGCCATTAACGACGACCGACTCCCGTGTTTGGCAACCAATTGAGACGTTCTGTTGAGTGACCCTCAAGATATGGTCGGGTGTGAAGCTGGCGTCATGCGTTTGCATACCTCCATAGTGCCCTGGAGCACCATGTCCGCTGGCGCGCGGGGCCCAAGCAGAAACTTGGGCCAGGCAAGAAAGGAAAGAAACGAGCGAAACGAACGGACGCATTGTGGATGACGGGCAGAATGCGAACAGGTGGGAGAAAGAGCTCGGGATAAGATATGTTTTGTAGTCAAACGAAATGGGGGTGTGGACGACCGCCTTACACCTCCGGGGTGCAGTTCGCAGACGAGAAGCAGCCGCAAGATTCGCTGGTGGATGCAGTGGAACGAGACGCAGGTACAAAGGAGATGAGATGGGACAGGAACGATATGGGGATGTACGGGATGACCGAAGCTACTGCGTGTGTCCCAATCTACAGTCAGGCTTAAGAGTGGTCATGAGAGTGAGAGGACGGTCGAAAGAGCACAAGATCTTCCACCCTGCTTTCCCAGCCGATGTTTGATGTTTCTTCGCCATCCTGAGAGAATCAAGGCAGGAATGCAGTTGTTGTCGTCGTCAACGTCCGCGAACCCCTCATTTCAGGTCGGACAACCTTTGTCTCAAGTCTCACAGCAACAGGCCGTCCGATGTCCGTACTAGAGCTAGTCTGTCTTACACGAGCCATCAGGCATTCTTCCCGCCCCGGCGTGGTAACGAACCCGAGTACCTTCCGCCCCTCCCTTCAAACCGACTAACACTGTTACCGTTGCACTCACCTGCAGAAAGCCTACCAGCTCGGGGGGCCCTTCACGTTGTCGGCGGGCGGAACGTTTTTAGCTCTGCAAACATAAAGTCTAAACACCCCAATCGGAATCGCAGATGAGTCGGTCGCCCGCTTGAAGTGGGGTGCAGTGATTCAGTTGCCGGCAATAGGCTTTTGACGATCCATGTAGTGATCTTAAAACTGAATTAAGGCTGCTTGTTCCGTTGACTGAGGCTGCCTTTCCCCCATTCACAGCGTTGCATTTGCGTAGGGCGCACTCGTGTCCGGAACCGTCGGAGTCGGCGCCTGGTCACTCTATATCCTGGGGCAGTTCCACTCTATCGGTTCGTCTTAAGATGTGCATGTTTGACTCGAGAGCCAAGACAACCGTCGCGCCTGATGATGTTGCTTGGCCAGTGCCATCTGTTCGCTGCACGGGTGTTTCCCGTGGGCAGCCAACACCATAATGATGAAATCGTCATTGGGCTTCATTCGAGAGATCCAAGTGTTCGTGGTGTCCCCGTTGTTCTGTCCATTGCTCTGTTCTGGGGATGAGCAAGAGTGCGGGCACCAGCTGGTGTGCGGGCATCGCCGACAAGATGTTGAGGAACCTTGTCAAACCTTATTCCATCTTCAACCAACCCCACAAATCGGCACTGTGCCTTCCTTGTTTGTTAAAGCGGCATAAACATCGTAATCACCGGCCACAGTGACGGAAAATCTAAAGTGCGAATGATAGAGCGCACTATCGCTTATCTTCCCCGCCCTGGACTGTCTACGAGTCACGCATCCGCAAAGGGCAGCGTCACAAGATCCTGGCCATTGATTTAAGGGGTTGAATAGATGTATTAAAGGATAGGATAGATTGAGTAGCCTGCTGTTGGCACCATTAGTCGGAACCGCCGACCAGCCGAGCCGCCTTCTTAGCCCAGCATCCAAAAACGAACGACAGACCCCAATGAATATCCAACGTCAAGCACCAAAAAAGTGAAAGGGCAATCGAAGTGGGCAAAAGTTCCAACCTTGCATGGCCTTAGACATTCCAAAATCGCAAGGTCGGATTGAAAAGCCAACGATGACAAGAATCCCCATAGGCGTTGATGGGATCATTGTCTGGAAAGTCCACGTTGAGGCAAGATGGGAGAGACTTCAATTCTCGTTGATGAACACCAGCCCGTCATTGTTCGGGTCACCTCCGGTTCTGCAGCGAAGGCACCCTGGCGCTCCAGCGAGAGGCCCAATTTAGAAGGTGGTAGTAATGTGGTCTTTCATCATCACAAGTCAAGAGGAGAATTTTCGCTCACCTCCACTGCCTTATGGCTGTGATCAGTTGTTTTGCCGAAAGCTTGCTTAGGCGCAACAGCGTTGAAACGGCCCATCTTGCTGTGGTTATCGCCATAATCGTAGGGGGTTGCGCTGCTCTCCGCGCCGACTGCACACTTGATTTTCTCGGAGAACTCATCGACAATGACAAGAATGACGGTTTGCACCGCGGTTTTTGCAATGTCCAGAACAGCTGGTCCAGTCTTCTGAACACCGGATTTGATCACGTCGAAGAAGCCTTCATCGCCCCCGCCGTGAGAGGGGGCCTCAATGCGCAGTCGCTTCAGCATCTCCCTGGGGAGGGTCATGAGAGTCTCAAGAGCGGCCTCGGCAATACCAACGTGCCTGAAGATAACTCGAGTGGCGTGCTCTTGGCTACCAGGGACGGAGGAATCGAGAGTGTGCTCGGCATCGCCGCCAGTGAGCTGAACTTCCGATACCTCCCTGTGAAGACCACCGCCCTGCTGATTTAGGCGAACCACCTATTGATGAGCCAAGTCGAGTCCTTGCTTGGCCAGGCGAGGACCAGCAAGCGGTACAGTGGCGTCAAGTCTAGGCCTGAGCGAGCGGCACTGGGACTTGATGGTCCTCAGAACTCGGGCGGACTGTCATTACCATGGCTTGGAGGGATGCTTCAGTCTGAACAGCACACTCGATAGCTCCGAGCGGGTGGCACCTTCCACGGCGTTGGAGGTGTTGCCATTCGCCATGGCACTCCGGGCGCCGGCGACTGTGGAGAAGGCTTCTCCGGCGACAGAGCCGACAGCTCCCTCAATACCGCCAAAATAAAGGCGAGACTGTAGAGTTGACCGATCCAAGTCTCATTGCAACGAACTTCAGAACTTCAAAATACCAAGAAATCTCTCCTCGTTGAAACTCTGTTGGAAACCCTTGCTATAGTCCCTGATCGGCGCGTCGTCCGGCGAAAAGCTTTCCAGGCGAAAGCTACTGTGTGCACTGTAGTCGTTGCAGCCATTATCATTGCTATCGAAGCTGTTACCATTGAAAACATGATCGTTACTGCAGGCTTCATCGCCGTGGAAGACGATCCAATTGACACTGCCCCCCGTAGGAGTCAGTGCATACCAACGGATTCAAAGCCAGTGTCGGCAGCTTGGAGACTAACGAGTCCAAATTGACCTATGTGTGAAGTCTCGTCAGCAAAGGTATTCGTTCGAAAGGCCTGTGATGGTTAAACTGCGAGGGAAGGTAATGATATGTTGCTCGATAATGTGCCACTCGCTGTTCTCGATGCATTCCTCATCCATCTGAGCACCTTTCTCGCCATCATTACCGTTCGGGTGCTGGAGATACTTGTCGCCAGGGTAGCTACCACCTCGATATCAAGCCGTTGGCAGTACTGGCATGGCAAGTTCGTGAGGTTTCCTGCAAAGGGGCTATTGTTCTTGATGAAGGCAAGGTTCTGGATGACGCTGACAAGCTTCTCGATTTACTCGGCGGTGGTAACGATACGCGCCAAACCAACCTTGAAAATATGCAGGCCCGTTGGTGGTGCTGACCGGGACGTTGTGGCCGATATAGCAGTTGATATTGATAGCTCCGTGAGGTAAATGCGGCGACTGAAGTTATACACCACATGTCCTCCAAGAACGGTATCTCAACTAATGAGCCAGCCAAAACCCAAGATCCAGAAGCTGCGGTCCTTGTCGGCGTTGAATAAAGCCTGGATCTGACAGCAGTTATGATCTTTCACATAGCCTTCTGTTCACAGTCTGAATGATGGGGGAAGAGCACAGCTTGCATCAAAACTTGCGGTCATCAGCGAAATTCCAGAGCTCGATGCCATGGCGCCTGTTGATGATCCACACAGACGCAGTGTCTTTGTCACTGTCATCGGGGTCACTGTCATCGGGGAAGATGGCAAACTCTGCACGTAACTTAAGGCCGGGATGGGTGCAAGAGAACGATATTCCAGACACGAAACGATGATAATTGACAGCTGATGACGGTGAGGTTAACTATGCTCGAATGACAGCAAAAGTCGAATGGAAAGCCTACCGTGACTTATAACTGTCGTTCATTTTCGAGGATGTTCGAAAGCGATGACACACAAAGGTCAAACTCAGCTGAGCTTCGGAATCCAAATTGTGCCGTGTGATGAGAAAGCAAAAGAAGAGAATCGGTATCCCTTCGCAAGACCGAATAATTGTTACGCGCAGCCCGTCCCCGGAACGTCACCCTTGAATCGAGCCGAGTCCCTGATATGCCAATGATTGTGGGGAAAGCGACTTCTCGAGGCAGATTGTGGCGGTCAGTTACTCGCAAATTAGCCTCTTCCTTGCCTTCTGACAAAGTGCCAAAAGTCGAGCAGACCTATGAGCATAATATTACGAGCAGACGAGAGGGGTCTGGTCTCATTTTGATACTAAGCAATGTCTTGCTACTCAGCGGACATTGCAGTCGCTTTGGACTGATGGCAACAAAAGTCAGTACCGCCATCAAACACATATCTGCACCTGCATCGTCCCTCAGTTACCGTCTTGAGCAAATTTGTTCACCGTGGAGATTTTCGATCGGCTTGTCTTTGAAAAGCTATAAATGCTTATCAGGTTGCTCAGATTATTAACCCCGTCGCTTCTAGCTAAATGTCCAGAGGGCTAGGCGTTTGTCTATCCTTATTTTATCATACTGATCGCCTCAATTCTTTTTTTCTTTAGTGACACTGATACTATTGATATAGGTCTCATCTGTACTAACATCTTCATCATCATCATCATCTATACCCATCATAAGACAAACACAGGTTTTCATAGATTAACGCGATGCTAGTTTATTATTACACAAATAAGTTTAGAATAGAATAAGATAGGATTAAAGTACGTGTCCAAATATTAGAAATAGGCCTATATTAAACTATACCTACTTTTTATTACAGTCAGCTATCTAATAGTAGGGTCTCCTAATAGAAGCTAGGGATTAATATGTTATAATAGTATATTGAGGTTATAGTCTAAGTTATAAGTTATAAGCTATAGTAGATCAGGTCTTTTAGAGACTAAAGTGATTAGTTTTAGGCTTAATAAGTAATTTATAATAAAGGTAAACTAAGAGTATCTATAAGGATAAATACTAAATTAATTACTAAAGAGTTATAGAAATCTAACTATAAGCTAAACTTAAAGTTATACTATATATAAGTCTTAAATAGTTCTTTTATTTAGTTTATTAATTCCTAACTAGGTACTAATAAGTACTTAGTAATTACTAGTAAGTATTTAGTAGTTCTTACTAAGTACTTAGTGATCTATACTATCTACTTAATCTTATCTTATTATTATATAACTTATACTATAGTTTTTCTATTTTCTAAATAAGTCCCTATTATTCTTATAATCCTATAGTATAAATATCCTATCCTAGCTACCTATTACCTAAGTAGGTTAGTTAACTATTATCTATATATAATAAGTTATAATATTAAGTCCCCTCTCTAAAGGTCTTATCCTTAAGACTTAATATAAGTAAGTTATTAGTTTTAAATTAGGGATCTATTAATTATACTTCTTATTATTACTTATAATATTAATACTATATTAGGTTATATTATTAAACATCCTATAGTTTCTATACTTTATTACTATTATTATTCTCTTAATATTACTAAGAATAGTTTTAAAGTTATACCTTACTATTACTATTATTTAAAGGGGCTCTATTATAAAATATTACTAAGGTTACTAGTTTATAAGGAGTATATCGCTATTAATAACACTTATTATTCCTATAATACTTCTAATAATATAATCTATTAATATAAAGTAGTATTTATTTTAGTTTTTTCTTCTTTAGTTAATTAGTTATAGTAGAGCAGTTAATAGTAGAGTCTTATTATTTAAATAATAAAGAGGAGGAAACTAAGGAGTTATTTTAAAAGAGAATAGAGGTACTATAAAAGGTATAGACTAAAATAAATAAAATACTTATAAAATTAAATTATATTTATAAAATAAAAAGAATAGTTTTTAAGAAGGGTTATAAAGAGATATTAGTAGTTATAGAGGAAAGTAAAGTATCTAAAGTTTCTTCTATAAAATCTTCTATATTAGAAGTTTAGTCTATAAGTAGCTTTAGAGTACTAAACTTAGATTTAATTCTTAATTAGAATCCTAATACTCTAAATTTCTTATTAGGGGAGTTTTAGTTATATTCTAATATTCCTAGTTAAATAGATATATTTTCTTATTATATTAGTTTAAAATATCCTCTTAGTTATACCTATACTAATAGGAGTTATATTCTTTATTTCTTAGTTTCTCTTTATTTCTATTATATTTCTTTTTATATTNTTTATTTCTCTTTTTTATTAGTATACTTTATATATTCCTTAAATTCTTCTAAGGTTATAAGTAGATTTAGTCTATTTTAAGAATTAATATAATTAAGTATTCTAATATACTTATTAATCTTATCTTAATAGTTAAGTAAGTTATTATTAAGTTCCTATATATTATCTTTATATCTATAGTTTTTCTATTTAATAAGGTATTCCTATTTATTATCTCTATACTAATAGTTTAATAGTTTCTCTACTTTATACTCTAGTTTATTATCTTCTATAATAATAAAATTATTTATTTATAATCCTTATAGTATTAGTTTAAGAAGTAAAATATAGAATATTAAGTAGTATTTTATAGTTTCTAAGAATTTAAGCTTATAGTTAACTAATAAGATAACTTATAAGATTTTAAAAGGTTTAAGTTTTTTATAGTTAAGTTTATTACTTAGTTATTTTATTTTAATATTTTACTATATAAGGTAAGTACTATCTCCCTCTTTTAAAATTAGTCCCTTAATCCTTTATTTATTACTAAATCTTAATATTTATTATTAAATAAATTTAAGTTTTTTATAAGTATTATCTTAGATATTTTTAATTTATTATACTAAAGTAGTAGCTTTAACTATAACTAAGTCTACTTAAAGTTCTCTATAAGTAATTAGTTTAAAGCTATAATTAAGATAGAAAGGAGATTCTTTAGTACTTTCTCTAATTATACTATTATAAGTAAACTAAGTAATTAGTAGTAATATAACCTAATTATTTTAGTTATAATTAATATAGGTATAGAGGTATATTTTAAGGATTTAGTTAATATATTCTATTTATCTATTAGTCTATAAGTAGAATATAGTAGATATTAATTATTTAATACTAAGTTATAATATAATTAACTTCTAAAACTTAGAAATAAAGATCTTATCTTAATTTAATATAATTTCTTTAGGTATTCTATAGTTAGTAATAATATACTTAAGGAAAGTATATATATATTCTTTAGTATTACTTACTTCTTTATATAGGATAAAGTAGGTATACTTTATAAGTTAGTCTATAATAATAAGAATGCTATTAAAGTATACTCCTATAAGGGGTTCTTAAAACTTTAGTAATTTAATAATAAAGTTAAGAGATATAGATTACTAAGCAGTTTATAATATAAGTAAAAGTTATAATATACTATAAAGTTAATATTAAGTAGGTTTACTTTTTAGGTATACTTTATAATCCTTAATTACTTTTACTATATATTCTCTTATAACCTTTTCTTTATATTATTATTATAATTATTTCTAGGTTTTTATAATTCCTTAGT